ATGGTGAGAGGGAAGTGATTAATTAGGGGTATCAATTAAGTTTTAATATAATACCTAATTTTTGTATTATGAATCTATACTTGATTTTTAAAAATTTATCTTTAAACACCTGATTTTTTTATAATTTCCCTTACAATTATCCCCTACTCCCCTCTCTCTCTTTGACAGACCAATCTAAATCTTATTAACTTAGATTACTTCCATGCAGATTGCTTGAATAGCGAAAAGCAATCTACCAAACAATCTAACCAAAAATAGCAAATGAACCAAGTTCATGGCCCACTTCACATTGTTGCCCTCTCAAATAATCAAGTGACGAGTACCACGGTTCACCTTTAAAGAATAGAGTTACAATATCGAACAAAATATAATCATTTGAAGCTACACAAAATTTGAAGATTAGATTCTGAACCAAATGTCCCATTATAAAATAGGAATTGAAATAAAAAATAAATAAAATATAGTCAACTTGCCCCCACATAAAAGCATATTCTTGACGGAACTTGTTCAACGTCTTCTCTAAACGATAAATAGGTATTGATATATGAAAGAATAGTAGATTTGCACCCCACGCTGACATAGGATATAGTATTCGAAAATAAAAAATCTTGAAAATGAATGACTTTATCAATTATAAGTTTAGCAAAAAATTTTCTACATCTTCAAAGAATTGCAGATGTGCCGCCCTCAAAGGAACTAGGAAAACGAATAAAAAAAAATCTCAAAAAAAATAAAAATGTGGGACTTTATCATTAACTTCTTCTTTTCTATACCCTTAAAAAATTGTAGATGTGCACCCACCGCCCACGCACACAATTGTCAAAGAATTGTAAAGTATAAGTTTTATAATATTTACCTCTATTGTCAATGAAGTGTAGATATGCCGCACAAGAACATAAGAAATAGGAATATAGTTACCTTAAAATTAATTTAAATTCATCAGAAAGCAATATGCTCAATTTGTGCATTTTTCTTGACCATCGCACAAAATTTAATAAATAAATAAATAAAAGTCATATACGGACAGTTGGTTGAGATTGATAGAAATCTCTAAAAAAATTGTGCATGCATCCTCTCGGACAGTTATAAAAAGACAAAATTCAATAATATTTCATACTTCTCCTACCTTTCTAAATGAAAATATATTTTACACGCCTTCTAGCAGATTTTGCACTTCTGGTTAACAACCTTTACCTTTCCATTCATACCTTAAAATCTCACTTAGTCTTTAGACTTAAAGGAGTGAGTTTGAGTCCAATTAAAGCTCTTGAAATTAGGAGAAAGTAGTGAAAGCATGGATTGAAGGAGAGAGTTTGTGTACAAATAAAGCTCTTAATGGATGAAAGCTGAAAGTTACGAATTCGATCCTAAAACACTTAAAGATGGTGAATAGGTTTGAAAAATTGTCATAAAATTCGTTATTTTGTTAGCACAAAAAAAGAGAAACCCTAATTCTCTTATTCTTGTTTCAATGTATGGATTACCGTTAAAGGCTAGTGGCAGTTGTGATATGTAGATCGTGATTGTACGTATTCCAAAATTGTCAAGAATTTCGCAGAATTAACTCAAATTATAATTTTTATCACAATTTCCATCTAAACACAAAAAGATCATCGATGAGAATTGAAATTGTTTGAATTTCACTGCACATAATTAAGTAAATTCTCAACAATGAGTTGACTAAACTTTTTCGCATCTTTAAAAATAGGGTTTACTATTCGTCTACAGCCGAGTGGAAACTGGATGAATAGGGGGCGCAGGTGGCGCTCCCTTATTGGCTAGGCATCTGTCCGCACAGACGCCCAACTAATAAGGGGGCGCCACGTGCACCCCTGGAGATCTAGCCAAAGCCTTAAAAATAAGCTTTCATATGAACTTAACATTAATATCTGCGAACAAGTGATTAAAAAATAATTTAAAGATAAGAATATTCTTTAATCATATTCCAATGTCACTCGATCTGTCAAGGCACTTGAATGTTTGATTAATATTAGTTCTTGAAGGGATTAAAATCATATTTTGAGTAGATTTTGATAAAAAATGAATAAATGCGTGATTCAAAAGTTATAGATTTCATTTAATATGTAATTAAACCAATTATTGAATTTGACTTAAATAAAAATCAAGATTTTAATCCCACCAAACTCTCATGCTCAAATACATTCACATGAACTTGGTCGGCTGTGGTATTATATTTAAATTTCGACTAATAGATATACAATGTAGAAACTGTAAAAATTTGATGATTAAAGCAAAAGAATAAATTGATTATAAAAAGAAAATGTATAGTCAATAATGGCGTGCAGGTATATTAAAGTTTAAGGTGCAGTTTGCCTATATTTAAATGATGTTATCCTCAACACCACGGCTATATATGCCATGTTCAGCTTCTGCTTTGTGCACAGCTCTTCACTTCTTCTCTACTCACTTAACTTATCATCGAGTCTTCATAGGTTATACTATTCGAGGTAAACATGGGTGTCTCCAAGTTTTTCCATGAACTCAAAACTAATGCTTCTCCCAAGAGGATGTTCAAGGCTATGATCACCGATAACCACGATGTTTTACCGAAAGTCTCCCCATCCATCAAGAGCATTGAGACAATTGAAGGAGGTGGTGGTGTTGGCAGTGTCAAACAGACAAACTTCTCTGATGGTTAGTCCAAATATTAAAATCACGAAAAAAGAAAAAGAACATAATATTTTGTATATATGTAGTACTATTTTGTCAAATGTTATCTGATACACAAAATTCATAATTTTGTAGTAGTCACAAATAAAAAAAGAACATTAGCATAAAAGTAAACACTTTTTTAACATACTACTATACGGCATTAGACCAAAAAAAAACATGTCCGAAAGTTTTGTTCATTTCACATAATCTCATTAGCATCTGCGTTATATGACAGGGTCTCACTTCAAGAACATGAAGAACAGGCTCGACTTTCTGGACACAGAAAACTACGTGAGCAAGTTCACTTTGGTTGAGGGAGACGCGCTTGGTGACCAGCTTGAAAAGATATGTTATGAGATAAAATTCGAGGATTCAAAGGATGGAGGATGTGTCATCAAGATCACCAGTGAGTATCATGCCAAGGGCAATGTTGTACTTAAAGAAGACGATGTTGAAGCAGGCATGGGACTTGTTATGGGACTCTACAAGTCTTGTGCAGATTACCTGATTGCCAATCCTCATGTTTGTGCCTAAATAATATCCAATTAATAAAGGAACTAATATGTTTCCTAATTTCTGCATTTCCTTAATAAAGAAGTTTATTCTTCTACAACTATCGTCAAAATTTCGAAATTTTAGCAAAGTTTAGGTCTTTACTATCAAGATTTGGGTTTTATCTTAAAATATTAACTTTATTAAGAGGAGTAGTCAAAATCCTTAAAAGTTGATCCATGTTTTTATCATTATTCGATATGAGATTTTATCCCTTAATATGATCCCGTAAAATGGTGGCTCGTTTGAGCATATTAATTTTAAAATTCATGTGCTCATTTTTTGTGATTTAGTCGAATTGAATTGCTCGTTTGAACTTAATTGGTTCTGATACTATATTAAAACTTAGGTCCATCTGATAAAGTCAATGTTCTTAAGAAGAGTAGTCCAACTCCTTATAAGTTATCTTTAGATCTTATTTAGCTATAATTGCTTGACAACAATTGACTATAAAACTGAAGGCCCGGAATATATTGCATATATACTTCGACAATTGACTAAGACAAACTAAGAAGCAAAAAATTTTAAAAAAATGCAGGTAAATTAATTATTATGCAATATTTTTAGTACGTGATGCTAGTTGTGGCCCTTGTCACTATTTTCCTCACGAGAGGAATAGGATGACCCAAAAGGTAGCTAGTTTCTTCTACTGCTTTGGTTCGATTGCCTTTCACTTAGACTTATTGTATGCCACATTTCATTGCACCGACTATGATCGATGACATCAGTTTACCGTTTCGTTTAAAAAGAAAGTTAATCATAACACCATACTTGGCTAAGATTAAAAGCTTTACTTATAAGTAAATTAATAAATTTAGAATATTGACTTTTTATAGGTAAAAGTTACAAATGAGTTAATTATTAAGTTATAGTTATTTTCAAAAACAGTAATATTTATTTAAAATAAGTTATTCACACATGTTTGGAGACACATCGTCACTTGAAAGTTTAATTTTTTTAAGCTTTACCAAACATACTCTTATACCTTTTTTCTTCGAAAACCATACTCTTTATAATTAACCAACCATATAATTTTTTCTTAATTTAAGTAAAAAAAGTTAATTATGTAAAAGTAACTTTGTGTTAAATAAGTAATTATGTTTAAATATGATCAATAAAGAAATATTCGTTTCAAATTTTACTTATTTTAATTATAAGTAAACTTACATAAAACATGAAGTTTTGAAGCTAACTAAGCCAAATAAACGCTAATGGAACTCACAAGACTGCAAATGAGTTATTTGCAATAAGCTATTATTAGAATCTCATATTGTTTGGGAAAATATAAATGATCAACTTAATAAGGTGAAGGCAATCCTTTCCTAACAAGCCGGTTTTATTAGGTGGAGTTAGCTCAATATTTCTAACATGGTATCAGAGTTAGACCCAATTATGCAATGTTGGGTACCACCCAATATCGATTTGTTCACAGTTGTTTGACATGGTTCACGCTGTGCGTGAGGGAGCGTATTAGAATCCCACATTGATTGGGAAAATATAAATGATCCACTTAATAAAGTGAGGGCAATCCTTCCTTAATAAGCCGATTTTATTAGGTAGAGTTAGATTCAATATTCCTAACAGCTATTGAATTCAAATCTCACTTGTGACTTCAACAACCTCACATGATAAACCCATCACGAATTCGAATTCAACTGCGACAGCTGAGTATTTAATAGAAAAGTAAAAAATTAAACGAAATAATAAACAAAAAATACAAATTTATTGAATATAACTTCAAGATTGGCTCTTGAGAAAGTCCAGATATGGGCCAAATTTCTCAAACTGGAAGCTGTACAACTTATAATATTTTTGTACCATCTTTTGATAGCCGAAAGCTTCAATTCGTTAATTAGTCAGCCATTAATAATCTTTTCTTATTCAATGAGGACATGGGAAAAAAAAATGGAAAAAGAAAGGAAAAAAAAAAAAGCAAAGAATGTTTTAACACCAAAAATCCGCTCCGCGAACCCTACTGCACTCCCCACACTACAAGAAAAATGAGTTTTTGAAACACTTAGAAGGCAACATTCATTCTTAAATGTTGCTAAAGGAGGTCTATTGCAACGTTTGGGCAATTGAATGTTGCTAAAGGGGTTTGTGGCAACGTTTTTTAAATGAATGTTGCAAAAAGTGACTTTTCGCAACGTTCTCACTTTTTGCAACATTTTTTTATCGTTACGAAAAGTCTCACTTTTTGCAACGTTTATTAAGTGTTGCGAAAAGAAAAGCCCATTATTTAGCCCAATGAACGTTAGCCCTAATCTCTTCTCCGCCTTTCTTTTCTCACTCTTTCATTCAAATCCACCATTTTCTTCCACTATCACGAAGGTAGTTTCCCACGAGAGAGACATCCACGTGTTGCGGGGAGTTGGGCAGCGAGGAAGAGCTGGAAGGAGAACTGAGTGTCACTCTCGACAGTGATTACGATTATGATGCTGCAAGGAATACCTCCGCGGAGGAGGCGATCGGGAAGGAGGCAGTCAAGGGTGAAACTTCCAATTACTCCGATTTTCTCTTCCCTAAATCCAAGTCAAAGCTGTAAGTACAACCCCATCTTTCTCTTCCACATCGACGTTGGCCCGGGAAATCGCGGGTGAAAGTACGAAATCGCTACTTGCTAGCGCATCTCAAACTCCAACTCTCCTGTCAATATCGCCGGCAGATTCTGGCGTTTTCACTGGCCTCTGACATGTACCTATTCTTGGAGAGAAAAACCAATTTCCATGTAAGTTTTTCTCTTTTCTATTTATTCTACATTTTTATGTTTAAGCATTTCATCTGCTATACCAATGAGCAATTTCAAAATTGTATAGTATTGTAATCTTAATATATTTTACTAATAAAATTTAATTATGACCTGCCTTTTAAAACTTTGAAACTTGTTTCTTATATTGATTCCTATCATATATCTATGGCCTTCCTAGCCACAAAGGATATGTAATTTAAATAGTGAATTGAAAACATAAAATTAAACCCGTATTTCTATTGCTCAAGTCTTAATTAGTGGGTTACAAAATAAAAACACTCCTGGTTGGGCGAGTTTTCGTTTATTTTTTTAAAGAGAGTAGTTGAAATTTATATTTTGTTGCATATTAATCACACTATCTATCTCCGTTTGTTCTAACTAATGAAATTGATGAGTTTGCAAGACAGAAAATATGAATTTCATTTTAAATAACATTTTTCATAAATAGGTTTTGAATAACTTTCGGTTTGTTTTTCTTATTTTAAGTAGTAAATTATTTTTTCAAAAAAAAAAAAAGAATAATAATTCTCACTTTTGTGTCCAAATTAGGGGCGAAGCCAGACTTTTTGTATTGTGTGGTCAATAATTAAAATGCAGTTTTTTTTTAAAACATAATATTAATGAAAATAACTCAACACACTACTACTATTGCAGGCTACGCATTTTCATACTTTGAAAATATTGTATAATTACATCATTGTCAATATTATCAAATATATTGTTCTCAATATGAAAACTTCGTATAACTACATCATTGTAAATACTATCGAATACATCGTTCTCAATATATGCCACCAAATTATCACTTAACCATTGATCTCACATCTAATTACGTAATGATTCTTGATAATCTTCTTTGCAAAAAATACTCTATTGTAGCACTAGCAGCTAGAAGATTTAATGTTAATGTTACAAACATGTATACTAATGGATATACTTCACTTTCTTGAGACGGAACCAACTTTTTGCAAGATCACTGAAGCCTCAAAACTCTTCAAAATCTTCGTGAGACAACAATTAATTTTATAAACAAATCCAAATAAATAATGTTAGAGATCAACTTGAATTGATATCTAGATATAAAGTTCAACCGTAATAATATTTAATTCCACTAATACTGATTTATTATATCCGTCTTAGATAGTGATGGTACTAAGCCCGAGCTCGACCTTGGCCTTTCTTAAAATGGGCTCCAGTCCACTGATTGAGATCGGGCATCAAGAGGTCGGGCCCATATTGCTTGAGCCATTTGGCTTGACCTTATCCCATTATTTCGGTTTTATGGTTCCCAGGTCGGGTCTATGAGGTCGGGCCCCATCAATATGAGCAACCTCGTCCCCTAACTCAAATGTCCTCCCCCTTGACTCACGTGCCCCTAGAATATTAGTTCGAATCAAACATTAACCCCCCAATTGCCTTAAATTTCACCCAAACTCAAATAACACAATCTTAGCACAACAACAACACTTCTAATAAGGGAAGTTGAGTCCTTTTAGGATTCCACCTCCACCCCTTATAAATACATAACACAACCTTATTATCCAGATACACCTTTTCAATAATATTCCAGCATATATTTTTTGTAATACTCTCTCTGACCTAAGTATCGGAGGGGCAACGAGAACACACATTGATGCCTTGGTTTCAGGTATTGGAGATCAAAATGCCCGGAGTCCAACCATCTGGTTCGAGTCAATCTAGGTACGGATTTTTGGTAGCATCAGATAGATTAATGTGAAAATTACAGTCAACCATTTTTTTAAATACCAACTTCAAAAATTAAGTTTACATTTTTTTTTATACAAAAATCAGGTGATAATATATTTTTCAAATATTAATAATAATATTATAAAATTAACTAAATTTACAAAACCATCACCCTCACCTAATTTCAAAGCCTAAAACAACTTACAGCAACGCACATTGCATGTTGCACGTTGCAAAAAAAAATAAAATTAAAGACAACGGACCGTGAACGTTGCAAAAGGGTGTATTCGCAACATTCATTAAAAAAATGTTGTCAAAACTCAATTTTGTCAACCAATAACAACATACACTTGCTGAATATTGTCATAGACCCCTTTTAACAATATGGAATTGATGAATGTTTCCTTTTGCATGTTGCAAAAGGCATTTTTTCTTATAGTGTCATTTCAAATTCCTTGGTCATACATTTTGAAAACCCTTCACAAAGAGAAATATTAGTTGCACCAAAAATAATATCATCAACATAAATTTGTACAACAATCAAGTCATTCCTTTTGGTTTTGATGAAAAGTGTGGTATCCGCATTTCCCATTTGAAAACTATTTGAAATAAGAAAATTGCTCAATCTTTCATACTAAGCTCTAGGAGCTTGTTTCAAACCATATAGAGCTTTTCTAAAATTGAACACACTTTTCAAAAAATTTGTGATTTTTGAAACCAGAAGTTACTCAACATAAACTTCTTCTTGAATAAAACCATTTAAAAATACACTTTTGGCATCCATTTGATAGAGAGTAAAAATTTTATGGCAAACAAAAGCAAGAAGCATGCAAATAGATTCTAAAACAGTAACCGAAGCAAAAGTTTCTTCGAAATCCATACATTCTTCTTGATTGTAACCTTGGGCGACTAATCTAGCATTGTTATACACAATTATACTGTTTTCATCTCGTTTATTTCGAAAAACCCATTTTGTACTAATAACAGTTTGATCATTTGGTCTATCAACTAAATCTCAAATATAATTTCTTTCAAATTGATTTAGTTCGTTTTGCATTGCTAGAATTCAAAACTCATCAAATTTGGCTTCTTTGAAATTATTTGGTTCAATTTGAGAAATGAAAGTACAAATATTTAAAAAACTTTTGGTACAGTTTCTAGTGCTTACACCTTTAGAAGGATCACCAATTGTAAGCTCCTTTGGATGAGAGGGAACAAACCTCCATTCAATTGGAAGTGTTGAATCATTTTGATTTTTTGAGGATTCTCCTTCTCCTTATTGAGAAATTGGTTCGTCCAAATTTTTATCTTCAACATCTTTAGGATTTTTCTTGTTTTGATCTTGAATATTCATTTGCTCAAAAGGAATTTCCAAACCTACATAAACACCTTTCTCTTGATCAAGAGAATTAGTTTCATCAAATGTAACATGCATGGATTCTTCCACTACTAGAGTTCTTTTGTTGAAAACTCTATAGGCTTTGCTAGTAGGTGAATATCCAAGAAAGATTCCAATATCGGATTTTGAATCAAATTTTCCAAAATTTTCTTTTGTATTTAGAACTAAACATTTGCAACCAAAAACCTTAAAATAACCTATATTGGGAACTCTATTTTTTCAAAGCTCATATGGAGTTTTGTTTTTCTTTCGACTTACCAAAACTCTATTCATAATGCAGCAAGCGGTGTTAATAGCTTCAGCCCAAAAATATTTGGGTAAATTATTTTCATTTAACATAGTTGTAGTCATTTCTTGTAATGTACAATTCTTTCTTTCTACTACACCATTTTGTTAAGGAGTTCTAGGAGCCGAAAAATTATGTTCATATCAATTTTCTTTACAAAAATCATCAAAAGCAATATTATCAAATTCTCCCCCATGATCACTTCTAATGGTTGTAATAGAGTATCCTTTGTTGTTTTGGACGTTTTTACAAAAATGTTTGAATATTTTTGAAGCCTCATTTTTCAAGTTCAAAAACAAAACCTAAGTAAATCTTGAGAAGTCATCAACAACGACAAATGCATAGTACTTACCACTAAAACTTGCGGTTTTAAATGATTCAAAGAGGTCCATGTGAAGAAGTTGTAAATTGAAGAAAATTGCTCAGTTTTGAAAGAACTTTTTGTTTGTTTTCCAAATTGACAAGCATCACAATTTTTGTCATTTTCAAATTTCAAATTTGGTAGACCTTTAATCAAGCAATTTTTTGAGATTTTGAAATTAGGTCCATACTAATATGGCATAATCTTCTATGCCATAACCAAGTATCATCTTTACAACTTGAAAAACATTTTAATTCTTTTTCAAATTCAATGTTAATGACATAAATATCTTTACTTTGGCTTCCTATGAACAATACATCTTTCGATGTAGTATCCTTAATAAGACATTTTGAAAAATCAAATTTGATATGATAACTTTTATCACATAGTTGATTAATACTTAGCAAATTATGTTTGAGATTATCTATTAATAAAATATTTTCAATAGACGGAGATGAATGATTACCGATATTTCCAATGCCCATAATTTTTCCTTTGGCATTATCTCCAAACATAACATGACCCCCATCCTTCCTTTTAAAATTTGACAATAGTGTTTTGTCACCTACAAGAATTGATTCAAAATTTTTTGATCTTGGTAGCCATTCAACTTTGGGTCCTTAGTAGGTAGTGCTAGTGGACCCTTGAACCCACTTATTTCTTTGAAAGTGTAGTTTCTTTTTTATTAAACAATTAAAAGTTGCATGTCCAAATTTGTTACAAAAGCTACATGAGGTGTTAGAAGATTTAACAAATATATTTTCAAGAGATTTTTGCTTTAGCCAATTCCTCCTTTATTAAAAACATATTTTTGCTTCCCAAATATTAATTCAAAGTTTTTCTTTACTTGAGTGAATTTGTGCACAATGTCGGTTAAATTTAGGACTTTTTATTTTAGAGAAACATTTTCTTTGATTATAGATTCATGATCATCCTTTTCTTTCTCAAATTCCTTTTGAGTTTCTAAAATCTTTTTGGTCTCATTTTTCAATAAAAAGTGTTGCTTCTTGAGGGTGGAATGTTTGAGAGCAAATTTTTCAAAAGCTTCAATGATTTCATCATATGAAGTAGATAGTTCATCTTCAATGGCCATGAAGCACATGTTTGCAACCTCATCTCGACTTTCATTTTCTTCTTTCTCACTATTAGTTTCATGTCAAGTAGCTTGTAGTGCTTTCTTTTTGAAGAA